CACTCCTAGGCCTTCCGCATTGCGCAGACCTCGGCCCATACCAGGCACTCCTAGGTCGTCCGCATTAATATAATAATAATAATATAATAAATTTATTTATTTCTTCTTACAACAATTGAAGCACATAAAATACAGGTTAAGCAACACTTAAGTAATATTATTGGGCGTTGTAAGAAGCTGGTGTCCGAAACCGGCGTTAACCTGTACTACGGATCACTAGGTCCTTACCCCTGGAAAATAATCTATACATAACAATGTTCTTCATAACCATATTGAACCTGTATACACATAATATTTATTCGTGGTAAATACAAAAACAAAAAATTAAAGGTTGAGAGATAAACAGAAACGTTTATAAATGCATGGTAGTTAATTATTTTTTTATTATAAGCAAAAATTTGATCACTTAACAGAATTTATTTTAGATGGCTAAGTAGATTTTCTGTGTCTGAATAGCTTAATGCCTGAACTCAGTCTTTTACAATTTTTTTACAATCTCCTACTGTTAACGGATATAACATTAGTTCTTTATTAAGTTTATTGTACAAATTAATACCTTGATAACAAAAAAAAACATTACGTAGACCTCGGCCCATACCAGGCACTCCTAGGTCGTCCGCATTACGTAGACCTCGGCCCATACCAGGCACTCCTAGGTCATTAAATGATTCAAACGTCTGTCTACCTTCACAGCCGTTTCTATTGTATTCCTCCATATCTGAAACGGACATTATTTCGCGTACATAAAAAATAAAAGTCATTTTTCGTAGAGTACGAAGGGACAACTGACCACATTCAATCTGGATGAAATTAGAACAGCCTTATATAATGAAAACACGCTTAGAAGATAAGGTAACATGTACATGAGTAAAAATAACATCTGAGCACATAGGGTAGTCCCCAGTCAGATGAAAAAAAATATTAAGAGCCCTTTTACAAAATTGCGCCACTGCCGTACTGATCGGCGCGTAGGTAGATTTGCACTAGTATATATTGCATTTCACGGGAGATGTTTCGAGTCTTATAAAGTAATTAGTAATGAACTAATTATAAAAAAAATATAGATATTTCAGTAGTTCAATGATGGTAGATTAGTTTTATGAAAGTTTTTGATAGTAATTCTATTATAATTCAATATCATTTTAACAACAATATCAAATGCCTTATTATCAAATCATTAATAAAAATTACTTAAAAACATATATAAATTTAATAGTGCATAAGATGTATGTATATATGCGTATATCATAAAATATGGCGTCCTTTCTCTCCACTGCTAGCTCAGCCGTCATATAAAAACTTAACATCATTCTGAAGGCAATTTGTATCGGCTATTGATAGCAAACGGATTTCGATACGTAATATAGACTTGATTTCTCTTACAGAAAATGGACTACCCACGTTTTACAGATGTTTGCGTAACAAATATTTATATGCATTGTTTGAACTAAGTCATCAATTTGTAAATTATTAACAGTTATAGTAAAAAAAAAACATTTTTCAATAGTGATTTATGATATAAGTGTGTGCATGTCCAACTAAATACACACGTACTGAATTATTCTTTTGTTTTCTCATGTAAGTGAATTTTGTGTTCTGTTTTGAGAAATAAATGTTTTAAACCAGAAACCATAATGATATGGAAAATTAAAATTCTCATACATTATGTTACAACAAAAACATATTTCTGATGTCGTAGTAATTAATTTGATCAATTTTTTTTTGAGATATTGGGGCGTTTGAAGTTGTGCATATTATCGTTTTTTTCCGTAAACTAGCTGCAGTAGAACATTCAGTACAAAAAAAAGCAAATAGTATTTTCAAATAGTCTACATTAACTTACAATAGGAAGAATAAATCTACTGTTTACTTCTATTGGAAGTAGTCAAAATCTCTCTAAGGGGGTAAACGAGGCGCTCGAGGCTAGTTTTTTGTAAAAAATGTGAAAGGACTCTTATGCAAAACCGAGTTGCATTGATTACATACTTTATAGAGAAGTGCTATATCATATCTCAGTGTTCAATTACACAATGGCCACATTAATGCAAACTCAGTGTAGCCCACGAAGTAGTCAAGAAGAAAATATATATATATATATATATATAATCACATTTACACACCCTTTGAGAGTAGTCCCAATATGGTGTGCATTTGGACAACAATTACACGTAACCCAGGCAATAGCCTCTGGAGGTTACTATTAATTAATGCAAAAGTATTCAAGAGAAACAATAAGATTATAACTTCATTTACACACTCCCAGAGAGTAGCCCCAGTAGGGTGTGTATTTTTACAGCAACTACACGTAACCCCAGGGAGTAGCCCTGGCAGGATACATGCAGAAGCATTATTGGGACGTGTATGATCATGTAAAATAATAATAATAAAAAAAAATGTAACGTTCTTGAAACTTTAAATATAGGAGTTATGAAATTAGCACTTATGAATGAGAAAAAAAATAAAATAAAAAATAACTTGCGTTTTTTTTCTGGGCGTAGTGAGAATATCAGGATATTCTCAGTCGATCCCGCTTCTGAAACTATTAGATTAGTTTCCAGAAGTTAAACCACAATGTTAATTTTCCACTTGCTTTATTCAACTTGTACTTCACTGTAATATAAACTAAAATTATTATAACAAGAATATTTAGCAGCAACACCACGTTAAATTTTGGACCACTATTCACGACGAAGGCTCTCGACTGAATACCGTATTTATAACCGCTCCACTCGCTAGTCCGTCCCCCTTCACGTCACGTGATAAGATGGTAGGGAGGTAAGGTGATGTGGCGTGATTTAGCATAGACAAACTAAGATAAAAACAATAACTGTACTATTGACCGATCTGTAAAAAATGCTAATATTATAAAAATGCTAACAATATAATATTAGAACTGGCCGATAAAGATGATTGGGTCCACATCTGCTCAGCATATCCATCAAGGTTATTAAATTTAAAAGTAGGTAATATGTTCCCAGAGAGTCTCATGTATGAATTCCGTAATTGTAATTATTTAATTTTAAGTGGCTAGTTCCAGAAACTTTCATTATGTCCAACGTTCCAGCACACGCATCATAGGAAACGCCACGTCGGGTCGCGACGCGTTTCAAAAGCCTGTTTCTACCTTTGTTCCCATTACACTTATTTTAGTTTTTTTGTTACTAAGTAATTTAAGGTTGCGCAGACACATGAAAATATACGATCTGCTCTAGTCGTAGTATGTAAATAGCAAGAAAACTTTGGTATACAGGGACAGAAGCGGACGAACTGCTTAATAGCATCTCCTTTTTACAAGTTATTATTTTTTAGCTTCTCGTGTGCCGGTATTTGTCTGTCTTTCATTGAGTCTGTCGATAATCAAATGAGGAATTTATTTTGCATAAATAAATGAAATAACAGTGAAATATTATTATAGCATAAATCTTGTGTAGATCTTATATTCTGACGTTGACGGTGGAACCGAAATATAGCCTTAAGCATTCTGTAAAAAAAAACAAAACTATGCCATCAATTTATTGTACGTGGTCCTTTTTTCTATATTATATCTGTGAAATTAAAATAGGAAATTGAAAATTTTATTTGAAATACGAATAAAAGCTTGTTTAAAAAAAAGGAAGTTTTTAATTTTTTGTTTACGTAATAATTAATGATTTTTCGATTCGCATCATTTTGATTCGGATCTATCCAAAAGTGCCAAATACACTATAGGTGTTAAGCTAATCTAATCCTTTCCAACTGCGAAGAGGCGTGAGACAGGGAGATATAATATCTGCACACTGGTCGCAGCTGCGTTGAAGAATGCTCGAAGATCTTATTAGAGCTTTCCAAGAGTGGGCCAAGATGAGCATGGACATAAAAAAAAATGACGGATGCCTATGTTGTACCTCTGTATTTTATTAGAACTTGATTGAGAACACTCGGAAGTTGTTGACCACTACGTATTCCTGCCCCTCTAGCATGACCACCGAAACGGGATATGTTATAGCTTTTTATCGAGTTTCAACTGTAAACTCCACTGTAGTCTGACAGTTAATGCCGATATATCGCTTTATCATATCCCGTTTCGGTGGTCATGCTAGAGGGGCTGGAAGAACAGTGCAGTTGGTAAATTTAACTTTGAGAAAGAACTCTCGTTTGTCTAATCTGCCCGTTCGAGAAATTACTAGGAAGGCTTGAGCCTTCCTAGTAATTTCTCGAAGTCATGGTGGTTAGTATTTTTCTGCGTGATAGAATCAGAAATGAGGAAGTAGGTAGGAATACGTTAGGACAGAAAGGTTTTCGAATGGCGACCTTACAATGAACCACGCTCAGTTAGCAGGACGACGTGGACCGAAAATCTAGAAACCGATGGATGCAAATGGTTCAGGGTCGATCGGTATGTAGTAGCCATAAGAAATTTACCTCTTTGAAGAGATAAGAGCTGTATAGCTCTTTACCCAGTGAAGAGCTACCTATAGAACTGTTCTAGCTCATTGGCTCTTTTGGCTCAGTACAGTTCATGCAGATAAAAGGCTCTTGAGTCATGAGAGTTACTCCGTGTTCATGGCGCTTGCAACAGTGCCGAAATATCGGAGATGCATATAAAACAAGGTACATGGTAACAATCGACTTTATAGCTATAATGTTAGTGACCATGAAATTTTAAAACAATATATGGCTCTTGAGTCGTTTTAATTGTGTAGAGTAGGCCTACTTGCTAACTGCTTTTGACAGATGGAAGTGATTATTACCGAGCGATTTAGTGATCCACTACTGCTTTATTATAACGCCACTAAGATACTTGTTCTGAAAAGCATCGATGGATATGCAATTTTAGCTTTAGTTACACACTGTAAATGTCAAAAAATTTAGCGAATAGGATCTTTTGAGTTATAGCACAGTTGGTAGAGTCTGTGCGGAAAGAAAGTGGGATTTACATTTGAGGGCGCAGTAGTGCGTTTCTACCGTACCGTTCTAAGGTATTACCCCTTTTAGACATGATTAAATACAAAAAACCGCAAGAAATCACAACAACAAACAAATCCGTATCGATACAAAACTTTGACGTTTGACGACCCAGGCAGGGTTGGATTGCCATATAAAAATCTTAATGTTTGTTCCGTTTTTCGCCACGCCCATTCTCTTTCCGCACAGACTCTAGTTAACACCTAATTTTAATGTCATATTTTATTATCTTTAATGAATAAGTATTAAACTGCTTGATTTTTATTTCGAAAGGCATGCATAATGTCAAAATAAAATCAAAACCAATCAGGTCTTATTGTATTCATTTTTGTATTAACACATTTTAAAGAGACATCGTACAAAAATATGAGCTATGGCAAGTAACTAAAAGAAACGACGGGTTGCACTCCGGGAGTGCCGTCAGAAGTGAAAACTTGAATATTAACGTTGTGCATTTTTAAATTAAGGAAAAAAGATAAATAAAAAACAAGAACGATCTCTTATTGAATAATTTAATTATTTCTTTCTCCTCTCTCCATTTATCATAACAATTTTTCATATTGATATAATAATAAGATGAAATATAAATAAAAGTTCACAGACTCAATAAATTGTTTTTTGGTCCCATTTAGAGCTTACCCACACGACCTTATTTATCTGAATCGTCATGTGCGTAGACCCCTATAAGTTATTTAAAATAAACCAATAATAGTAGATATAAGTACAATTAATTACATGTATTCGATATAACAATTGCAGCAAATTTTATTTCTTTATAATTAGGAATAATTTCTTTAGCTTTTTACTTTGTCATTATTTATCTTTGTTTTTGTAAAGAGGACTTTTTATTTAAATAGAGTGTGATAGTAAACACCATAAAAGCGTCATTTATAACTTAGCGTTAATATTAACTGTTCATAAAATTACTACAGTAATATCAAAAACAATAAATACTGTTTTCTACGTATATCTTATAATTAAACTCTGTACCAACATTCATCAATAAAATTATCTTGATGAATGAATATTTTTTAATAAACAATCAATACTGTTCTGATCAATACCAATAATAATAAAAAGTTTTAATAATTATTATGAAAAATTGTAGTTTTTATATACATTTCTAAATCGGTATGGTAACATTATTCCATAATAAATATAATTAAAACTAATAGCGAGGTTTCCTCTACTTAAGACATCGAAAGAAGATTTAAGTATGTAAGTATACTTTTTATCACATAAGTGCGACTTATTAATATAAATTATTTTATCTACTCTGCTACACGAATGTCTTTTCACTTTTGCTGCTCGACTCTTGGTCAATAAAACTACTTAATAAAGTACGCGGCTTATAGACAACTAGAATACTTTATATTCGTTTAAATAACTTAAAAAAAAACATAAGTAGTAATTTATAAAATTGTGAAGTTATTTGTCGTATAGGCTTTTAGTGTTTTAATTTTACGGAATAAACAAGTTTGCGACAAATATACTTATAGAGATTATCGCTCATTTTCAAATATTTAAGTTAGTGTCCTTCGGATAGATAGATGGCTACTTGTAGTTCACCAATATAAACATTTGTGACAGCCTCATAATTAAAAAGAAAACAAATTATATAAGCACAGCAGTGCTTTTTTGTAAGAATAACCTCACTTGCACCGCGTTATTTACGGCGTGATTTGAATTAAGAATACGAATGCAAAATAAATTTAAAATCACACTGCGAGCACTGCAGGACGTGAAAAGTGTTATATTTACTTTTTCACAAATTCGGTACACTGCATGGACGGTATTAATTGTTAACGGTCCAAATTATATTAACAAAGGTTCAATATAATAACAACAACTGAATAACAACGATTAATTTTAATAATCAACAACAGCACCTCCATAGAATCTAATGTCCAGTAGTCAGTAGTAACAGTATTGATCTCGGTCTTATCTCGTATCTACAATAAGCGATAAAGCTTATTTGATTATATTCGCACTATCTACAGAAAATAAGTTTTAAAAATATATTGTTTACAAGTTGGTATGATTAAGAATATTTAAATTCGCTCGATTTCTTGTTTACGCATGTACTAAAAGTAAATTCACTGGAAGTAAGTTTTCACTTCCTATTCTCCCTTTCTCTGAAATAGAATCATTACAACAGACTAAACAAACGTTTACTGATCCCGTACTCACCAATACTAATTAAAGATGCAAATCATTACAAGAAGGGCATTCTGTGTTAATATTAGAAGAATTAAGGGATTTTACACTGAGTTCTTGAGGCCAAGTGTCCCCTGTGAAATTTAGACAGCACTTATTATTTATATCAAAATTACTCTTAGACAGTTACCAAAAAGTACGCTCGAATACTTTCAGGATCTGGTCGCTTTATACACAGAAACAAATTCATCCATGTATAAAAACAGTTTCTGGAACGGCGTCTGCTTCAAAGTAAGACTGTATGGCATCTGAGTAGCGTTAACTGATAAAAACTTAGAACATTTACTATGCAACATGCAATCTCACTTTTGGTTTCGTTTAAACGATTTTTCACACTTAATCTCTCTTAACCTAAAATTAAATTTGACAACAGTGTGATCCTTGTTATTCTCTATACTATACATAATGAAAACGAGAGACTGATGTTAAATTCAGTTTTAAGTTTACAGATTCATGTCAGAATCGATACCATTGGCTGCTTCAACAGTCTTTGCGACATTTTGCTGTGTTATTGTGACTTTATACACATGTGGATAATGGAATTAATGTTTAAAAAACCATGGCACACGGAAGCGAATTTTCATTTCACAGAATCGCTCTACAGTCCTATGTAGTGAAAATGATATGTAAATTAAAAACATGTATTTAATAGCATTGGTCTAAGTGCGATGATTTCCGTAGGATCATGCAAGGTCGTGAGCTTGTTGAACTGCACAATAAGACAGAATAAAAATAGCAATGGTGTCACTAAGTGTGATGATTTCCAAGGCTGTAGGACCGGGAAAAATGGCAGAAGGGCACGCGCTGGTCTGCAACTGTTTACAATTGGAGCCATCGAATGTGGGTGTAAGTAAGTGTGTCGATCTCCGTTAGATCACGCAAGGTTGTGTGATCAAGTCGGCTTGTTGTGCTGCACGGTGATGGGTGTTTAGGGTGCTGGGTGCTGAAAGCGGTCGGGGCGGGAACAGTGGCGGAGGGACGCGCGCTGGTCTGCAACTGTTTAAAATTGGCGCCATCGAATGTGGTTGTATTTAAGTGCGACGATCTCTGTAAGATCACGCAAGGTTGTGTGATCAAGTAAGCTTGTTGGGCTGCACGGTGATGGGTGTTGGGGTACTGAAGGCGGTTGGGGCGGGGACAGTGGCGGAGAGACGCGCGCTGGTCGGTGACGCGGGTGGCGACTGCTGGCTGCCCTCCGCGTCGCGCTCCGCCACCTCCTCCTCGTCGATGATGGAGATGTCGCGGATGGACGGCCGGTGGGAGCGACGCCAGCCTGAAAGCAAACCAACATATTAGTGCGGGAGTACACGATGCATTGCGGCGCGGCGTCGGAGCGGTGTTGGTGCATCATCTTACATAAAAAGATCTATAGTACGTCACACTTAGGGTTGCCAGATGGTATCCAAAAGGAGGACATGTCCTCCTTTTTCACATTTTGTCCTCCCGTCCTCCTTTACCTACCGTATGTCCTCCTTTTGCTCTATAGTCGTTAGTTCGTGCTGAAAATGCCGTGCGCCATGCATGCATCGCCAGAGGTCAGACGAGCGTCCGTACCGGCTGGTGGTGTGGCGACGTATGAGTGTCTGTCACTAGCGGTGGGCATTTAAACGAAAAGCGCTTAAATAAGCGCGCTTAAAATATTAAGCTTGTAAGCACGCTTTTAAGTATAAGCTTTATAAGCTTATCACTTAAAAAGTGTGAGTAAGCTTTTCACTTAAAAAAGTGCAAGTATATTTTTTACTTAAAAAGTGCAAATCCCGCCATCTATGTCTTTGCCAGGAAACTACATACTTCGATCCTTCTAGTCCACTACAGTATCGTAAAATGGGTACGCGGAATTCCTTGGTACTAAATATTTCACAATATCACAGACATAGAACGCGCGACTACAGCGCCGCGTCGGCGTGCCATCTTTCGTGAGCCGGTTAATACAGAATGCGAATTATTATAATGCGACGTAAAAAAATGCACTTTTTTAAAATTTGGTCGGATAACCAACGCTTTTTTCGTTAAAAGCGTTTAATTAAACGAAGTCGAAAAGCAGTACGCTTGTCACTGTGACGGGGTAAGAGCGCGTGGGTGTTGTACGGTGTGTTTGCATGCTTGCTTGACGTGTTAATGCGTTTCGTGTATTGGTTTAATGTGCATATAAAATAATTAAAAGTATGTATATAAAATCAATGAACTTTTAAGTACGCCTGGATCACGAGTATATTAACTCCAGACAGTCCTAAGCTTGTAAATTAAGAAGGAAAGTTCATTGACTTAAAAAAATTGATTATAAAAATGTTTATTATAAAATCTAAATTCAATTGAAAATCTTTCGTTTTTAATGCCAATCAATTCATTAGGTTTAAAAAAAATTTTTAATAAAAATTTCATTAATAAGAAGAAAAAACGCAATAAAACACTTAAACACATTAAAAACGACAATAAACTTTTCACGCTTTTTTAAACGATATACCTAAACGAAAACACAACACAACGTCGCGCTTTTTACGCATGCTTTTAAACGTTTAAGCCAATAAGCGTTTAAACGAAACGACAATAAACTTTCACGCTTTTTTAAACGATATACCTAAACGAAAACACAACACAACGTCGCGCTTTTTACGCATGCTTTTAAACGTTTAAGCCAATAAGCGTTTAAACGAAAAAGCTTTTTTTCAAGCGCGCTTATTTTAAAAAGTACAACGTTTAAACGCTTTTAAGAAATAAGCCGTTTTTTCCATCTCTATCTGTCACCCCCCGCTCCGCGTCTTCGGATGTGTCGAGCATGCGCGCGCTACATTCGCGCCGGATGTGCCTACGCAGTACGCGCTCGCTCAACTCGTTACTCGACTCGGGACTCTGGTGACGAACGGGCAGGCTCTTGAGTCTCGAGTCTCGACACGCGCAGACACGCTTTTTTATTATTGAATTGGTTGGTTTTCGTGCACGCTCATCGCGAATTCGTGTGATTTATAGATTTACTATATAAATATAATTGACGCTTCTTGCGCCCATTAATTTACTAGTCATGAGTAAGCGGAAATGTAAGTTTACGGAAGTATTAAGAGCCAAATATCCATGTTTTACCAAGGGACGAGATGATTTTGACGCCAAATGTTCCATTTGCGACTGCCATGTGGATGTAAGCAACAAAGGCACTATTGCTTTAGAACGGCACGTAACGACAGAAAAGCATAAAAAGATGATACGAGCAGCAAGTTCGTCTTCCAAGGTCACTAACTATTTTCAATCTCCTTCTTCAATGACTCACCGAAATATTCATGCTGCAGAAGGAGTACTAGCCTTCCACACGGTAAAACATCATCAGTCATACAATTCTATGACATGTACAGCGAGCTTAACGAGAAAAATGTTTACTGATTCTGAAACGGCAAAAAAATCTTAAATGCGGAAAAACTAAGACGGAAGCTATAATAAATCAAGTTGTTGCTCCACATGCCATTACGACTATAATTGAAACTTTGAAGAACATTTCGTGCCTTTCCGTCGCCACAGACGCCAGCAACCATGGTGCAGAGAAACTATTTCCTATAATGATTCAATATTTTAACTGGACTGGAAATGGTATCGAAACAAAACTTCTTGATTTGCAAAGTTTACCAAATGAAACTTCGCTCTCGATTGCACATCTTGTATACGAAACGCTTAATACGCATCAATTGACCCCAAAGTGTGTGGCATTTATTGGCGATAATGCAAATGTGAATTTTGGAGGTATCAACCGAAATCCAGGTCAAAACGTTTTTACGCGCCTTAAAGAAAGTTTGAAGAAAGAAAACCTCATAGGAATTGGCTGCCCAGCACATATTATGCATAACAGTCTTCGCCATGGTGTCGATTTGATGAAACTGGATGTTGAGTCTATAATATTGAAAATATTTAATTATTTTTCTGTGTACACGGTGAGAACAGAAGCACTAAAAGAGTTTTGCGATTACGTCGAACTCAATTACCAGCCTTTGCTAAGACACAGCAAAACAAGGTGGCTTAGCTTGTTTCCGTGCATAGAAAGAATTCTGAAGCTCTATCCAGCATTAAAAGAATATTTCTTAAGCCAAAGAATATCACCATACATAATAAAGACATTTTTCGAAAGCTCAACTTCAGAAGCATATTTATGGTTCACGCATTCTCTGATGTCTATTTACCAAGCAAATTTGGCGAAAGTCGAAGAAGAACATAATTCCCTTCTCGAAATTTCAAAGATACTTCAATCCGTACTGCGCATGCTTCAAAATCGAAGAAACGACAAGTTTTTGCCACTACGGGTAAGGCAGCTACTTCGTGACAACTGTGGTGAAAATGAAGAGGCCGAGTCCATTTCCAACGAATTTTTCAGTGTTTACGAGGCTTGCGAAAATTATTTAAAGGAGTGGATAAAACCCTTTGACGATTTCAAATGTTTTGAGTGACGGTGCTGAAAGAGAACGAAAACCTAAAGTATGAGGCTTTAGTTCCATGCATTGAGTTTTTGAGCATCAGAGGTGTTGAAATTGACGATGCTAAATTACATGATCAATTCTGTAATTTCATTTCATTTCTGAAATCGAAATCAGACGGTGATTCTGCTGATAAATATTATGATTTGAAGCTATACGAGCAATGGACAATGTACTTCAAAAGTGCTAAAAACATTGAATATTTCTCAGAACTGCTTAAAATCTGCGAGTTCTATTTTTCAATAAGCGCACATAACGCGAACGTAGAAAGAGTTTTCTCACTGATCAATACTCAGTGGACTAAAGAGAGAAACAGATTGAGCGTGGAGTCAGTTAAAGCTTTAATTTTAACTCAATATAACTTTAAAAATATGTCGTGTGAAGATTTTTATAATTATTTGTTAAAAAACCAAGAACTCCTTACAAAAATTGGCAGCTCGGCGAAATATGACGATTAAAATAAAGTGAATTATATAAAAAATTTGTTTTGTTATGAATGTCCTCCTTTTTTAGAGAAAATCCTCCTTTTTAGGCCCGTCAGTCCTCCTTTATCAAATTGTCATCTGGCAACCCTAGTCACACTAGGCGCTGCGGTGCCGCGCCGGACTTGCAACTGCCAATACGAGGAGGGGACGGGTGAATGCATTCCGAAGCCGGAGCGTTTAAGCGTTATGGGGAATGTACGCTGCTGGGCCGCCCGGTGGCGTCGCCGCTGCGCTTAACAAACGTTGCGACGCCGCACTGCTCGTGTACCACGAAATCTCTGCGGTACGGCGCCATAATGCGTCGTGTGCTCGCACACTTACGTTCAGCTCGATAGCGCAGGTGATTAGCGCGGTCGATTTGCGATCGTGCAAGGTTAAGCAACTTTCGTAATTACCGGTCATTGGATGGATGAACATAACATATTGTATTGAATTCCTCTGTGCATACATCTTAATTCGTTAGCACCCAGCAATCCGATGAGTCTGAGTGGTGGGTCATAGCCCGTTAGAAGCAAATGTTTGTTGATGAATTCGAGTATTAGTACCTAAGTTACGACAACATATTTCTACGAATTAGTATATTACTGTAGCGGCCAGCAAAAAAGGTATTGATGGACGAACGTGTAAATGTGGGTAAGTATATCAATGCCTAGTTCTGGCCAAGGTTTGTATAGTTTTTTTCTCTAATAATATTTTTGTGTATTAATTTTTCAAAATCAATGACACAACAATATTTTTCCCGCGTTAAAGTTTTTAGTATTTAACTGCTAGATGATTAAATCTAAATAAAATATCCTAGAAAAAAATCCGAGTGGATTTTTTTCCAGTGGCCAGGTCTCAGACGTTTTTCGAACGTGCATGCTGCTCCAATGTATTTGGCCAGTTCTATTAATTGAATTTCTATTTATCTTGAAGAAAGGCTGTCAAAATATTGATCGAATTTCCAAGCATGATTGAGAAAATAATAAAATAGCCAATACACAAGCCTCAGCAGCTTACCTTGGTGCTAGGCAAATTAAGGAGCAAGGTAAAAAAAAAACGACTAGACCAGCAAATATTGAGGATACCTTCGAGTACAGGCGTGGTCTTGGACAAAAGTCGGGGTCCAGTGACCGTGACATATAGCACACGGTGGATCCATCTCGGCGTACATTCGGAGTGTTTCTAAAGTCGCGGGGTCAATACCCGTCATCTTGCCGACCTCGTCTATAGCCACGGGACCAAAAGAAGCCCACCAAGTAGTAATCTATTCAAGATTACCTTCGAGAACAGGCGGCGTCGTGGTTTGGGAAAGCAGTCGGGGTCCAGTGAGCATGAAGATGATGGCACCTAGAGGCGCTGTGATGACTATGAACATAATGCACACGGGAGATACCGTCTCGGCGTACCCTCGGAGGGTCTTTAGAGCGCGGGGTCAAAGCCCCTCATCTTGCCGACTTCGTCTATAGCCACGGGACCTAAAGCAGCCTGCCAAGTGAATAGATTACCTTCGAGTACAGGTGGCTTCGTGGTCTTGGACAGTAGTCGGGGTCCAGTGAGCGTGATGATGGTGGCACCTATAGGCGCCGTGATGACTATGGACATAATGCACACGGTAGACACCGTCTCGGCGTACACTCGGAGCGTCTTTAGAGCGCGGAGTCAAAGCCCCTCATCTTGCAGACCTCGTCTATAGGGACCTAAAGCAGCCTGCCAAGTGAATAGATTACCTTCGAGTACAGGCGGCTTCGTGGTCTTGGACAGTAGTCGGGGTCCAGTGAGCGTGATGATGATGGCACCTATAGGCGCCGTGATGACTATGGACATAATGCACACGGTAGACACCGTCTCGGCGTATCCACGGAGCGTCTCTAAAGCCGCTGGATCTACGCCCGTCATCTTGCCGACCTCGTCGATTGCCACGGGACCTAAAGCAGCCTGAAAACAGAAAAACGCATAATGAGAAATGCGTATTCGATACTTAACAATTTTATAATTGGACATGAAAACATGATACAGATACACAAATTGATATGTTTTCATTTCAAACTAAATACTTATATTATTCCTTATAATAAAACCGTGAAATGTACCTTAATAATAAATGTGTTTTAATTCGGAACACAAGATATGTACCCACGTGTTAACCAGTAAATCGTGAGAAAGGTCAAAGAAATGTACCCTTTTTGACCTTCCTGGCGATTCACATACAAAGTATGTTACACCAATAGAGAGCATAGCTAAAGGTTTCGGTTTGCCGTTAGTTTGACAAAGGCTCTTAAAGACACCGCGCAAACACTCCAATGGGAAAAGATGATATCAGCTGAGGTACAGAGTTTTATAATCAGATGCGTTATAATGTTATAGAGATTACTCAAAATGTCAATGGATTCAAATTAAAGAATTTAGACTAAGTGTCACCGTCTTACATACCTGTACAGTAGCTTTAGCCATCCAGGCGAGGCCGACGAAGATCTTCTCCTTAGTATTGAGGTTGCTCCGCACTGCGCTCACACTCGTCACTATGGTACGAAGTACTGCACACCCAACCAGAATTCCACTCCCAATTAACACTAACCGAATCGGTAGTTCGGCGATCTGTAAAGGATTAATATGACGTGATGCTTTATTTTGTTACTTAAAACATTTAACTTAATCTAAAAATAATTTTACTACAAATAATCTTCTCCTTGTCTGGCATCAGATTCGACACGGTCATCAAAGTGTAAGTTTGAATTCTGTTTCATGCCTGGACTGAGTGGATCTTTATAGTAAAATTTTCTTTAGATATTTATATACCTAAAGAAATATTTTCTTAGTAATGTATTTTTTGAGTAACACTATCGTCGTTGTGACGAATATTACATGTATTCTTTAGGGTTCGTTCTTTCGCCATTTCCATTATCCCTCCGTCTGACTGCAGACAGCATAACTCAAGAGACTACGTACTAGTGCTATAATGTTATAGTTTTGCTTGGATCTTCAACAATCCGTTGACAAATCTTTGGATAGTCCTAGCAAAAAATGGTACATTTGTGAAACCAATGTTTTTAAATATATTGTTATGTCTGTGAAAAAATATTAAAAGTGATATTATAGTTAGAATCAAGCGTTGGCTCGTCTCTAGTCCTACTTGCCAGCTTAATGGGTGTTTGTGGATATGTGAAAATATCACGGTAAGTACAAGTAAGTATGTATATTTAGAACTACTGTAAAATGAACTAAACTATCACAGTTATCTAATTAGGCTTTATAATTAAATTTAATTGGCATCGTAAACTTTCGTACAAATCCATTACAAATTATATGAATTTATGTTGCTAATCGTGTTCAATGACCTTTGTGATTCGTCATGTCCACTACCACTTCAGCAGAGCAATCCTTCGAGCGATATTGGTTACTTTGGTTCTCTTACGGATTTCCTCATTTCTGATTCTATCGCGTAGGGAAATACCGAGAATCGCTCTCTCCATTGCACGCTTGGTGACCTTCTTATGAGGCCCACAGTAAAAGACCACGTTTCGCATCCGTAGGTCTTCAGTAGAGGTCGGATAATTGGATGCATATTTACCTCAAGTACACCATACATACACACATACTCGAATGGGAAATTAAAATTTAACTTTAAGTAACTATGCATCCGATTAGTTAAGCGATCCCGGAATCTCGAATTTTATTTTAAATAAGAATATCCGAAGAAGCCGCTTCCATAATTTGTCAGAAAAAATAACTTTAGGAAGCTTATTTAAAGTTTCCGATTATCCGATCCCTAGTCATCTCTGGTCAAAGACATTTGTCTTGAGACACTGAGGTAATATGGACGCTAAGATTTTCCGTAGCTTCCCGAACGCTTCCAATCCGAGCTGGATAAGACGAGAGATCTCCTTCACAAAGTAATACTTACCTAACTGGATTGTCTTTCCCAGGTATAGGTACCAGATAGGTAGTAAATTATATGAATTTATGAACCATATAAAGTATACAAGAACTCAATGGCTACATTGATAATACTGTTTACGCCCTTTCCACCACCGACCAGGCGCGGCGAGGGCTTACACCCTTATGTTGTCGAAGTTCCTCTTATTCGCACCAAGCGATTTGCTTCCGCTTTCATTATGCGCTTAGCTCTTTATATTATTTTTCATAGACAACCAAAAGAACGATGTGTTGTATTTTAGTCTGTATTTACTTAAAAATTAAACTTACAACTACTTGAGCTCCTGTGACTGAAAACAGCATGGGTTCGAAGAACATCCAGAAAATTTCGAAAGCCGTTGCTACAGGATTATCCTCCAACTCCCAGCCCAGGTCGGACCAGTTTTTGCACGCTACAAAAGCGAAAGCAATAACTGCGAGTGGTCCTGAAAAGAATAATAAGGTGCTTTGTTAAAACTAAAGAAATTCACCATAGGTAAAGAAAAGAGGTAAGGCATAAAGGATTTTCAGTTCGAATTGGAGCGCCTGTTGAGGGAAGTAACCTCCACCTTTCACACACAGACACAAGATCACAGTAAAGTAACAATGTCTTTTGGTGGTGTTTTTTTTTTTTTTTTTTTTTTATATTACTAGGTAGGCAAATGACTCTACCCCACCTGATGTTAAGTGGTGATAAAGTCCAAACGCGAAGATAGCTGGTACAGCAGTTATTAACTGCTACACCAACCATCCTCACCTTGCCGGCCCGCAAAAATGCTTCTTCACGCCTCTCTTAAAGGACCCCAGATTATAGGAAGGAGGGAACACGTGCGCGGGTAAAGAATTCCACTTACGAATAGTACGACAAAGAAATGAGTCGCCAAATTTCTTTGTTCGTGTAGGAATAGTGGTCACAGTAAGTCGATGGCAACGTAGGCCAGCGCGCGTGGTCCTCTGAAGAAAAGGTGATGGAGGGATAAGCAAGAATAGCTCCTCAGAACACTCGCCGTGGTATACTCGGTAGAATGCGCTTAATGATGCCACATCACGGCGTAATTGTAGAGACTCGAGTTTCTTAGTTGCCTCTTCATCGCCAATGATGCGGGCAGCGCGCCGCTGCAACCTATCCAAGGCATCGAGTAAGTACTTTGCGGAGCCATCCCAGAGGTGCGAGCAATATTCCACGCAGGACCGCACTTGTGTTTTGTACAACAAGCACAGTTGATCGGGCGTGAAAAAACGCCACACCTTGTTCAGGACTCCGAGTTTGCGTGAAGCTGTTTTGATCAACGTTTCGATGTAGTCCTTTGGATTCAGGTCTGAGCGAACTTCCATACCGAGCATGGTAATATTGCTCTGTAGCGCCAGTGTTGTGCCCTGAAGAGAGGGAAGGGGAAGGAATGGCGATGTTTTTGCCGTGAAAGCGCAAGCCTGAGTTTTCTTGGCATTGAACTCAACCAAGTTCCTAGTACCCCATTCGGAAATGTGGTCTAAAGCCCGATTGAGCTCAACGACAAGATTCTCCCGTTTCTCCATGGTATCTACCTGTCCAGCCGCCGCGTGTCCAAAGTATCTCGCATGCACTGTGCTATCGTCTGCATAGCAATGAATATTCGCAAGTGGAATCAAATCATTGATATGCAGCAGAAAGAGTGTGGGGGATAGAACGGAACCCTGAGGAACACCGGCATTCACTGACATGAACTGCGAACTACATCCGTCCGTAAGGACGCGAATTCTACGCTCATGCAGGAAGTCAGCCACCCAGGCGCAGAGCTGAGCAGGCAGACCGTATGCAGGAAGCTTGGAGAGAAGGCTCTTGTGCCAGACCCTGTCAAAAGCCTTGGCGATGTCAAGGCTAAAAGCCAGAGACTCTCCCCGCTTGTCTATAGCTTCACCCCAGATGTGTGTCGCGTACGCTAGAAGGTCACCCGTCGATCGATTCGGCCTAAATCCGTATTGACGATCGTGAATTAGAGAGTAATCTTCTAGGTAGCGGGTCAGATGGTTGTTAAGGACCCTTTCTAAGACTTTACACAACACTGAGGTGACAGCTATCGGCCGATAGTTGGCCGGGTCTGAGCGGTCCCCTTTTTTGGGCACCGGTTGCACATTGGCGTCTCTCCAAGCTTCCGGCACACGCCCCAAAGAGTAAGAGAGTTGGTACAGTCGCGTAAGCACGGGAGACAACTCCGCTGCACAATGTTTTAGAACAACTGCTGGGATGCCATCGGGTCCACTAGCTTCGCACGAACATCACGCTGCCTGATTTTAATGTCAGGCATCGTAGTGGCACAATGAGGTAGTGTAGGTGGCAGTGCATTGCAATCACTGATTCGGGAGTTAGCCGCAAAGAGCTTTGCCAACAAATCGGCTTTCTCTTGCGGCTCATGAGCTAGTGACCCATCTGGACATCGCAGAGGTGGCAGCGAGGGCTGGCAAAAGTTGTGTTGCACGGCCTTAGCCAAACGCCAAAAACTACGGGAGCCCGTAGGGTGCGTTAACAATTCGTGGCCAGTACGTGCTACACGTTGGGCATCCGCTCTGATGTAAGCCTTCTTACAAGACTTGGAAGCACTATTATAGGCAGCTTTCAATGAGTTAACCCCGGGATCCTTAAGAGCGCGGCCTCTGATCCAAGCGCGATATGCCGCCTGCTTACGAGAAACAGCATCGGCACAATCGCGATTGAACCAGCGGTTACGTGTGCCCTTACTGATGAGATCAGAATGTGGAATGTAATACTCCATTCCCATTACGATCTCCTCAGTAATGGCAACGGCACTGGATGATAGGTCCTTTTCATTGAAGCAGCGCTGCTTCCAAGGGACAGACGCAAAGTAATCGCGCATACCATCCCAATCCGCCGACCCATAGTGCCAGACCCTGCGTTTGACCACCAATGGTCGAGGGGTTTTGGCCTGTGGCACCTTGACAGATATCAGGCAATGGTCTGATGAACCCAGTGGGGCTCGAACCACAATCTGATACTCCTGCGGATGGGTCGTAAGCAGAAGGTCTAGTAAAGAAGGCGCTTGACTTGCTATATCTGGGATCCTGGTGGGCTGATCAACCAGTTGTGTCAGGTCGTGCGTGAGAGCGAATGCATGGGCAGAGATCCCTGCATGGTCAGTTTTGGAAGAGCCAAGCCACAAACCGTGGTGGGCGTTAAAGTCTCCCAAAAACACCAGTTCTGCGTTGGGAAATTGCGCCTGGGCATCATCTGCTACCCTACTGAGGTGGTCAAACAGTCGAGTTGTCTCAGCGTCGCCGGTGTGAGATCTGTAGAGGCACACGTAGACTCTGGCCAAAGGACCAGAGTCTACATGTACCGCCAACATGGAAAAGGAGGGGTCTTCCAGGCAGCTCAAACGGCGACAACAAACATCCGCCCGAACATACAGGCATACGCCGGCTTTTGCTTTGAAGGATTCTTCAAGCGCGTAGCCGGTGTTGAGTTTCTGTCGATGAGTGAGGTTCCAAGGTTCCACGGCGCAGTGAATTGGGTCAGGTCGGGGTAGGCAACGGCGCGAGTAATATTTTTGATCAGAAGCGTCTATAGGCTTTGATGGCTGCTTACCTTGAGGCGGGTCATACGCTTGTTTACCAGCCTTAACATAGAAAAAGATTTATTTCTATTACCAAAAGTGTCTGGAACAAGTAAATTATTTTTAATTAACACCGTCTAATAAAATTTATCAAATCATTTCTACTCTGACTCCATCCCCTACCCGCGTGGAGCAACACAACATCGAAAGGAACCGAACACATCAAAATTGCATATCAAATCACCGCGGACTTCTGAAAGGTGAAGGAAGGTTACTTCTTCAGACAGGCGCTCGAAAAGGGTTCGACGAATCAGATGTCTTCTTCCATTAACATTTTTCTTACATTGTATTTTGAATGTTAGTTAAACGACCTACGTGGGCGAGTGATATGTAAGCTGGGTTTTTAAGGTGTCGCCTATACGTGAGCTCCCGGGTTCGTATCCCGGTGTGGCAAATGTTAGTATAATGAATACGAGCAACATAACTCATGGATGTTTATATATATTTCTACGTAAAATATATCCTTTACCCTAGTATCCAATAACACAACACACACTTTCAGTGCTTACTTTGGGGCTAGGCTAATTGGTGTGAGTGTTTGAAATATTTATTTTATTATTTATTATTAATGTATCAGTGTTCTTACCAGCGCCACCCCAGCCGACTTCTTCGGATCCGAGTACGAAGAAAAGACCCCCACTGAGCAGCAGCAATACTCTTAGTGGAACCAAAAATGCGTCGTTCCGTTCCGGTGCGTACTTGAGAAGGTACCCACAGAGTACACCCACTGCTATGCCAGCGATGATACTAAGTGGCCCCTGTCAACAGTTTCTGATATGAAACGATGGAAGTAACTTAATGGGGAATGAAGAAATCCAGTTCAGGTAGCTTGTCGTGGTTGATCGATCTAATTGGTTAAATATAATAAACCTACGTGTATTCTGGTATTATGTCTACCTACATTATAAACATTAAGATTAAGCATTTCGTGATGTAAAGGGAGGACAACAGCTTCAAAAGTGCGTCCTTTCCATGTTTACTTATATGGAACTGCGTGCGCATCATGGTAAATACTCAATTAATAAACGATGATAATTTTCTTGTACAATTTTAAAGGCTAGAAATATGCTACAGATTGCAATACTTATACAGCAGAAAATTATTTTTTAGGGTTTCGAAGTCAACAAGGAAATAAAGTATCACCGTGTTCAGCCATAATTTTTCTTAGAAAAAATATCTAAGAGAGTCTTTTGCACCAATCTGTACTTCGATCATATTAATTTAAAACAGCGTAGGTAGTCGCAAAAAATATTTCACCTTTGATTATAGAGTCTTAGTACCTAATTGGTATTTATAGTGATGGTGATTCTAAATTTAATCCCACATTAATAAATGATTTCAGTGTAGAAATCAAAGCAATGTTACAGAAATATAAAGTGCTTAAATTTAGCAGACAACAATGCCACAGGCGTATCGTCGCTAATGAGGAATAAGGCTACACATATTCCAGAGATGTCATAAACACTGATGAAAAAAAGAAAGAAGTTTCCTTAATCACCTGAATTAAATTCATAGTGAGAGAAGATGTCGAAAACATAATGGACGATACGATCCCGAAGACGGCGACGCTAGCGGCGTCGTCTATTCCCGACACGGCGAGGACCAGCGTTGGGATGCCCTTGGAGACCCCGTAGCCCTTGCCTCGCAACCGGAACAAGCACGGCACTATCACTGCCGGTGACACAGCAGCTATTATCGAGCCCAGAAGGAAAGCTGTGAAATATAAATAATGAGAAATTTAGGGCCTCTTGCACTTACATTTTTCATTAAAATTGATAGAAAGACCATGTAAACTAAATACTAATAGTGCGTGCCTTGCAAGGGCAACAGGTTGCTAACTCAGCTATGCTGCTGTGGTAAATGCTTTCACGATACCAAAGCAGCGTTGTGGAATCAGGATAAATCATGTTCAAATATATCATTAAATTGTTAAAAGTCAAATGGTGATAAAATGAAGACACTTAAACATGGTTAGATTTTGATTTTGGTTTGAAGAAATTTGGTGTAAGATAAAAAGTATGTATTGGATAATATTATAAAATTTAACGCAGGGAAGTTTCAGTATTTGTTTATATTACAATCGCAAGTAGGATTTTATTTGATTGTTAATGCGTGATTCATTATATAACTATATCGGTGCCAAAGAAATTAGGATTAAGCTTTGCATTTTTTGTATAGACAACAGGCCAGGAAACCATGCCTTTTAAGTATAAAAAAACATAAAAAACAGATTACACAAAAAAATATTGTATGTTTTGACATGATGACATGCAATTTGCTAGATTGAAAAAGCTTATTTTTTTACTTTTTAAATTAATATTAAACAAATAACGAAAGAAAGATAATAATGATATGCACAAATCTGAGATGCTTACCCCAATCCCACGGCAGATCTAGGAAATAATGTCCCAAAACAGCGGAAAGAACGCATTCGAATGTCCAAGGGACCAGAGCGAGCTTGATGACAGTAAAGAAGAACTTTTTCATAGCATGTGGGTCCAAATCCAGTCCAGCTCGGGTTAAAATGATTGTCAGAGCGATTTTTCTGAAATAGAGTAATTGAAGGTTTTCGAATAATTGTAATAAAAAAGGTAAATAATTTAAAAAAAAATGTTATTTGAATTTAAATACTAATCAATTTAACGCAACATATGATAAATTATATAATTGCAAACTAGACAGAGCTTGTAATATTGAAACTGCATTACTGAAAATATAAATGAGTATTTAAACAGCCCTTAATACTAGGAGAATATCGGTAGTCAAATAACAACAAACGTAAATAAATGTAAATTGCATTTTATCACATTCTCTTGTTAATAAATTTTCCATCAAAATTAAGTATTCGATAATATAAGGAAGGACAACGGCTTTAAGTACGTCCTTTCCATGTGTACTTATATGGAAACTGTGGATCATGGTAAAGTCAGTTACCATGCCTTTAATTATGCATAAATGATGATATTTCCTTAATAAATTTTAAAATATTCAAAATCATACGTAGTTATATCAAACAAAGTAAGTTTTATTATTATTTCGTTATCAATAAAGTTGATATCAATAGCAAATTGATTTTTGAAATATACCTGATATAAGAGCAAACTTTTAGGTAGTGTTCGTCAAAATTCACGAAGCCTATATTCTTGAGTATTAAGCCCACTATTAACATGCCTATCAGTTGAGGCAAAGTGGTAATTTTCAACATGAGCCACCCTCCAAAGTGGGCTGCTATAGTCATAGCCGCTAGGGTAAACATTTGCCCACCCGGGGCCACTGTATCTCCCATGATTATCCATACTATCATCCAGACCAGTATACCTAAAAAGGAAAAGAAAAAATCATTCATTTACAGATTACTTAAGGAAAGGACCTCTTGCATCTAAATTCTGAAATACAAGCTTAAATCCTGTTTGACACATCATGCATCATTTTTATCAATAATTGTTTATAGTCAAGTCGATATAGAATAGCTTACACATGATAGCTTTCAAATTAAGAACTCTGATGTAGGTGGGTTTTCATCATTTTATTTCTGAAAATAAAGATAGTAAAAGGGGATCTATTTACCTATTATAAACACAGATAACGTCTGTGCGAATTGGCGATATGAAGGGCAAAGGGGGTATGGGCATATTTTCTGCCAGTTAGGTGGTTCCCACGATGGAATCCCGGATTCTTCTTGATGACACTTCGCGCAGCAAGCGTACCACCAGGATCTAAAGACGAATATTTGAAATAATTAAACGTGTGAGTCATGCTAGCTGTTGTGTTATTTAGCAGATATCAAATGAGGATGATCATTAAGTATTAATAAAACACGAGAGACTTTCTGTGACCTAATTTGATATATTAATACTGATACTTGAAATAAGTTTTAGAATGCAATAGTTAATGTGTCTCACTCACCTTTCGATGTGTTCGCTTTGCTGTGAAAAAGCTTTCTTCGAGTAGATGGATGATGTAGTTGAGTATTTTTTATATCTGCCTTCGATGTGTGTTGGTCGATCTGCGAACAAGCAGGCGTGTACTAAGTCGGTCGAATGTAGCTGGGAGTGTGGCTGATCGATGGTGATCGAAGTTTCCTTGTGAATTAGCAGCTGTCCTTAGGAAATCGTTTGTTCTACATTGTCAGTTGTGTTATTACTTTAATTGTTGTTTCATAATTTATTCCTTTTAACTATGTTATAAACATGCTCTTTTTATTAATTTGATTTGCATAAAACTTATTATTATTTTTTATTTTTGATCTTTACAAAATTGGATATGAAACTATTAATAAGGTAAATAGATCTTTTGGGTTTCCTAGGAATTCTATTTCTTTCTGAAATAAGTGGACACAGCCATTTTAATCCACTGGAATTTCTTGAAAGAGAGGTGGTACTTTCCTAAAGTTAAATTAATAAACATTCTAAGAATGATATTTCAAAATTTTACCTTTTATTTTTCCTTTATTTATAATAAAAAATAGCCAAAAGTGAAGCTGTCCCTATACTTACTTAATTTTATCAAGTTCTTCTCCTTCAGAGTTGGAGAGCGTGTCAATATCATCTAGATTAATCAATAAATTTCGAATATTTCAAATGTAAGGCGCGGCACACACAGAGGAAATATGTCCGCGAATATATATCTTTTTATGCCGCGCCCCTTCTTCTCATCTTTTATGTGTGTCCAGTGCTTCAGTATTTGAAACCCCTCTGAAAGTTTCTTTGAGAAGGGTGTGTGTGTATAGTATGGGTGTGCTGTGTGTATGTATCTCCAAATTTTAGATTATCCATGTGATATATACCCCAAGAGTTATCCATTTCCGCTGCCATGGCATTGTGTAGGTTGCTCTTGCGCCGTGATGGCCCTTCTGCTTGTTGTGAAATTCTTCCATTCCTGCTGTAAAGGAAATATAAATACATAAGGTACGGTATTCCTGCTGTCCATACTAATATTATAAAAGGCGAAGGTGAGTCTGTCTTTTTGTCTGTTATCTCTTTACGCTGAAACTGCTGAACCTATTAAGATGAAATATGGTTTATAGTTTGAATCCAGGAAAAGGATATAGGATAGTTTTTTTTACCTAGAGATCAAGCTTTCAGAGGGTAAATACGGGGGTGAAAGTATGTTTTGGAAATCATTTTTTCCACACAGACGAAGTCGCTGGCTACTAGTAAAAATAAATAATCACAATACCTACTAAAGATTGTTCAAAACAGTTCAGGTTGGTTTTTAACAAACTTCAAACAAAAAAGTAGAAGGTTCCATATTCGTTTCTTTTTAGTGTTCCATAGTCCTGACAAGAAACCCTTATAGTTTCGTCATGTCTGTCTGTGCGTCTCCGGTTTTGATCTGAGACTATTAGCACTAGAGAGTGTAGACAGCTATTATTTTGTGATGATATGTATTATTTCTGCTAGAATAAAATTTTGTAAAATATGTTATTTAGGATAGCTCCCCTACATGTTACCTGTGGATAATTTTATCTTCATCATCTATCCTTTCGTGTCGGATATCGTTGAATAGGTCGTTTAAAATGACTTCGGGGTTTCTAAAAATATTTTTTGGTGAAGGGATCCGTTTGCAAAATATTGAACTTTAATGTGCTATTCTTTGTTGGAGTAGGGAGTCCCCACCCCCTCTCAAAGCTAAACCAAGGGCTTAAAAAAACATGAAAAAAATCATGATAATAGTACTTTTTATTAACTTTTAAGGAAAACTTCAGTGGTTCATTCCAACCGATTTTACATCACAAAAACATTCTACGTATCAATGGCCCCTTGAAGTCGCGTATACTGCTTATTCGAAACCAATTGTCGGGTAAAAATAGATTTGTTAGCTTAAGAGTAATAGTCGTTCAACGTTGGTTGAAGAAAATTTCTTACCTATTGAAAATTCCTTCGAAGAAAACATTAATAGTGACCTGGCATTGCAAAAAAAAACAAAAAAAAAACACTAATTAAAAACTTCAATAAAATATCATTAGTTCTACAACGCTACCGCGAGTATCAACTGTAACGGCTTCTGAGTCGCGCTTATGTTACTTTTTTATAAAAAGTATATAAGCACTTGAAAACTTCGGCGATTATACCGCATCATCCCCTTCTCAGGGGATGATCGCTTCAGATGAAGCTTTTAGTTAGTAGGAATCGGACATAACCTTGCAGCCGGTTGTAGGATATCCATGAGGATTTCACACCCGCTCCCCCGCCTGGGAGGAAACAAAAAAAATCGGCGGTTATCATTCGTATTTAAAATGATTTTGAGTTTGAGATGCAGTTTGACTTTTATTTAGGTATTTTAATTGAGATGCATGGAATAATATTAATTGGTTTTTCTAAAATCCGATACAGAAAATGAGGACTCCTGCTCAAATATATTGTGGTAAATACACGCAACTACAGAACCCTACATTGCGCATGGCAGGAGACGCACTTTGCCGGTTTTTTTGGGTATGTACGGTGATGTTTTCGTGAATTGTTAACCGTTTTTTTTTACTTGGAAGATATGCTCCCGAACTGCTTATATATCAGATCAGGATCTGATGATGGTATCGTGGCGTAATTGAGAGAATTCTTCAAAAATTAAAGGCTAGGTAATATGGGTATTTTTTATAGTGACTCGTCTACTTGCTCTCGGAAAGTACCATCTGGTGAAGTGGAATTGATGATACAATGGCCACGGATGGCCACCGGAACCCGCCAATAATAGAATATCTAGAGTTGAGATAGTTTAATTCGTTTGCTTAGCAATTTACGTTTGACACAAATGCACAATGTGTAAATGATAAAGTTTAGCTGATAGTGAAATGGATCTCACAGTGAAGTAACAGGAGAATTCGTCAAAAACTAACGTCCTTGTTTAATTGAAGCAATTTATCTAAAATATGTTAATTTTATTTAAATTTATGTTTATTCATTTTTACCCGGCTGCGCAATGCAAGCGCGCGAAGAGCACAGTCGGGACCCATTAGATATTCAAGAATACATAATATTTTTCAATAATGGGTCCCGACTGTTAAAGTAGCTTTGTTCCTTATTAACAGAATTATAGACTACTAAACTTGTTTTTTTTCTTTTCAGTGTTTATTTGAAGTTTAATTAAGCAGTCGGGTTTTTTGTTTTTTTTTTATTTTTCCTTTTTTATATTTTTTGGAAGGCAAATCAGCACACGGTCATACATAAGCATTATGGTAAGCGATCACCGTGGCTATGGACGCCAGTTACGCCAGGAGTAACACACGCAGGTTTTCCCACATTAATATTTAGACTGAGATTAGAGTAAAACATAAGTTGGGTTCCCTCTATCTGCCAGAATCTTGTTAGTCCAAATTCATTTAGCGTACCACACTTGGCATAATCTTATTTATACAAATATTTGTAAGGCATATTAAAAAAATATGTTATTATTGTTTGGCCAAATGTTTCTTTCAATGAATTTACAATGCCTTTCACACTTATAATTTCCTTTGGAAAAAAACATTCTGCATAATTTCGTTAACCATAATCGGTGTCTCTGATCAGTGGGTTAGGCTAAATTAGTGTGGTGACTTAAATTAAGCGCGAGCCTAACGTGCGTAGCGAGCGTGCCGTCCCCCTTCAGGTTCGAGTGGTCTAGAGGCTCCAGACGGAGAGGAGACTCCCCCCCGTGGGGAGACGCCATCCTCCTGGAATATAATTCTCGGCTTGAGGTCCCCTTAGGATCTCGCCGTCCCCAAAACCGGTGACGTCATGTAGGGCCAACAGCATACACACTCAAAAAAAAGCGAGCATGCCGCGGCAGGGTCGGTGATGGGCCAGCTGATAGATAATTAATAGAAAAATAAACAAAGAGAACTTAAATATTTGTATGCCAATAGACGATTCTGAGTTTCAAAATTATGCGTTTGAATGTCTGCTTTAATGAGTGAATGCCAAATAATTTTCTGCGAAATGAAATTGATGCCATCCGCTGTTATGCATAGAATTATTAGTTCTGCGATCTATGGTAGAACCTTATTAGTTTTAGCAAACGCCAATTTTAATAAATTATAATCAATTTATGAATTACTCTTCACCTATGGAAGATAATACAGCTAAACAATGTTTTAGTATTTACAATCATTCTTCTGCAGTGACTCGTATCAATCGTAGTCTCGTAAAAAGTTAACATTTACTTCACGGTTAGAGTAACTCTTTCACTATAAGTAAATAAATAATAAAGATTAATGTCAACAAAACTGGGTTACTTCGTTGTTCACGCTGTCTGTGACCTTTTATTTTTCATTGTAGCCGTATAAAACACGGCGACAACTATTTCAAGGGTAGATAAATGTTTTCTATTGACGCAGGACCAGTCTCAAAGAATGCATGCATAATATTAAGGACGCCATTTAAAGGAGGCGTTTTTACTACTGAATAGTAAAATATGTTTACATATAGGGCGTTTATGCTTTTCTTAAACAATCCCAAGCACGTCTCGTGACATCTACGATGCTAACCTAATATTTATTTATAAACGGTTTATCGGTGTTTTTAATTCGATCAAGATGTTAGTCAATAATAGTAGTCACATGAGCATGACCGTATATAGTAGGGTGTGTATGATTAATGCAACAATAGAAGTTCTATACTGATCGACGAGTGATAACCTCGTGGTATTGTTTGCGATTGAAGCGAACTTCGTGAAAAATGATACCGATGTTTTGACGCGCTTCATTGTGTTCTGTTTGGCTCTGCCTATGCACACTGCGTTGCTGCTATTGCGAGTAATGTTGGGCCTTGTTAGTCATACCATGTGATAGGTTTCTTTATAAGGTAGCTGTAGCACGCACGACCTCTTGAAATTTTCGTATCGTTTATCTGTACTGAGAAGAACCGACAATCAATTCAGATAGTCCTGTTATGTTCCCTTCTTTTATAAACAGGCGTTATACTATAGACTATAGAGCAACACGGCCGACGCGGCCAGGAGGGGAATAGGCATACACAGCTTTTCCCTCTGACGAGTTGGGCATACAAACGGTACCATGTGTGCAGTATTGTATTATTGTCATTGTTTATGGGTGAGTTTCATAGTTACAGTTTTGTTTTATATGCGTGTACGTTAAACTGCGTTTGCGTGAATTTTTACACCGTCCGTCCTTTCGTGTATATTAAGAAAAAAAACTTTAATATAGAAAACAAATAGGGAAGTCACTTTACTATACAATACAATTTTCTATTAAAATTTTTAGCTTCTAGAAACTATACTACAAAAACACTAATCATGTAACAATACAATTTCACAAAAGTCAACAGTGGCATAGAGCAGACTCAACACTACTGCATTCATTCCCGAGCATGACGCGTGAACTAGCCATCGCCTTGCACATCTTTTCAAACTTTATTTCAGGGAACGTAACCAACACATTATTTATAATAAATTCTGTGTAAATAACTAAATTTATAGTCCTTGTAGTTTCTATAACGGTTAGTTGTCGTTTTATACGTATTGCGTAAGCTGCTGAAGGAAATTTCCACGCAAGAAGTGATGTACTAAGTTTCCGAGTAAGAAGCGATATATGAGAAGTGAGGAGGAAAAAGGTCAATCCAATTTTCAAACTAAAGTTATACTAAAAAACAGTGGTTCAATTTTAACAAGAGGAAGAGTAAATTTTATACAGTTCATTTGGCAGAAGTTTTAGGTCTGAGAGTTAAGTTGAACCCGTGAAAAACTAATGTTCACATCGATCGATCAATAGAGAAAAAAGTTACGACAAGATGCCAGGGATTATTAATATTGTTTTATTAAAAAAACGGGCCTATAAACAATCCTTGGGAAGGCCCACCCTCACATTATATCCAGATGATTTTTAACCATTTACTTGTAATCTGTGTTTAGTAATTATTATTTTATTACATAATTTGTAAAAATGGAGCTGGAAGACAGTGATAAATTATTTCATCTTGACTTTTAGATTTTACTAATATACCTATTAGTCAAACAAGTCCCCATACAAAATTAATAGTAATGGTGATTTATTATTTTTAAACAAAAGCTAATTTATTATCAGTAATTCACAAAAAGGATTATTACAAGTGAGTGACGAAATTCATCATTTTAAATTCAAATAGAGACCAAGAGTAAGTATGTACTTATTTCTTTGTCATGCGATTACACGGACTTTTAAAATTTTAGCATAAAGAAAATGAATCCGGTTAATAGCAGTTAGTGGTTTTATTTGATTCCGTTGTTATAGTTAACCATGTTCAAGGTTACTTATATTCTGGGACACTTTCTGGTAGGAGCCAAGTTTAGTGCTACGCCGCGTTATCCTGAGGTACTGAGAAAACGTGGAACTATGTCATATTGATTTTTTTAGCAATCAAGAATTCTTCACAGAAGTAATGATTAATAATTGTTTAATGTGATATGGTATTGACAGCAATACCATATCACAACAACATTCACCTGTGACACACACACATACTCAGATAACACTTACATAGTTAGCTATACACAGTCAGTTATGAATATTATTAATTGTTTACAAAGTAGATCGTTCATTCAAATATATTTATGTTAGCGTTTTTTGATTTAAGATTTACGTTATCCCTATTGCTGTCGTCTGCCCATCTGTCCGTATGTTACGGGTCATTAGACCGAAAACGGAATGAGTTGCTGAACTAAAATTTTGGTATTTTCTGTGGAATGGTTGCCAAAGCCAAATATATAGTTGAAAATTGAATTAAATTATTGTAATATTTTTTATTATTTTGATTAGAGCGGGAAAACCAAGGACACAATTTAACTCTTTGGCACAGACAGACGTCACGCATGCCATGTACGTCAAACTTGTTTTGTTTTAAGATTATCCCTTTTTAGGGAAGGCAAAGGGAACAATGCCCATACAGCATAGTCTTTAGTTATATTAATCTTCTTTTTTTACATTAGAATGTCGGTGTGACGCATTCTAATGTTTGTTGGAGTGTTTGGCACGAAATGTATCGAGTTATGTTTTTCGATAAACTTCTGTGAGGTAGTCAACACTACAATAAAGTTCTCACGTCCACTTGACCGGAATAGCGTATATTTTAAAGATTCCACTAATTCTTCAATTGCGTAGACGATTGTAACACAAAATCACACCAATTTTTTCACAATATCCACTATGAACGAATTGAAGAATAATTAAAATAAGACGCCAACCGCACTCGATGGAATTCCGCCAAAAAAACCACTTATTTTTTTTTGTGGCCCGATAACCAAACAGTTCAATTCAGTGTTGTCATAGTGACAAAAAAATATCGGTATTGTTGTAGACTAAACCTATCAAAATATTTTTTTTAAAAGATAACCGACTTTAAAGTAGAAAGTGAAACTAAAAAGTAAAAAAAAATATTTACTTAATAATCATTTTACAGACGGTTTTTATTTTTGTTGAAATATAATTTTTATTTCATCCAATGATTTAATTATTTTAGTTTGAAGCGCCTATGTCATACATAAAAACCCCTAAAAAGAGCCATACACAAAGTACTGTATTAGTTACATTGTCTATGTGAACAAAAATGCTCATTAAATGAACACTACTAAGTCAAATTAAAATATTTTTTTCTGAAACTATATGAAAAGTATCTCCCTTCACGTACCAGAAAAATATGACTGTCTAAATTGACAAAATTGCTCATAAAATAAAATAAAAAATTTGACTGGCACAGTGCCGGTTCTTTCATTTTGTTAACTACAGTCTTACTACAATGAAAATTTAGTACAATCATAGACATAGACAGTTAGTACATAGCTTCTATAAAGGAGATCTTAAAATTTTTGCCCAATTTTGTACCTTGGTATAAATTATCTAAAAAACCATCTTAAATTATACTAAAAGACTCATTGGATGACACGTTGAAATTTCGCTACTTAAGCTTACCATTTTGCTTGGACAAACTTTGTTGCAAAATTGTTTGTGTTTCAATAGATAAAAATAAAATTTATTTAAACAATAGCATACTCTAACTACTTAAGTTAATAATAAATGGGCACTTTTAGTTAAAATCTCTTCATCTTCGAGAAAAAGTAAGCTAAGAACTCTTCATCATCTTCGAGATGAAGTAAGCTAAGAACATGCCACCAAGTATAAGTACTTGGTATAAGTATAAACCTTCTTTTGTTTTTTAATAAAATAGATATTAATATTTATAATAGTCTGTTCATTTAACCAACTTACAACTTAGTTGTAGCATACTAGAAAAAAATCTTATGACAAAATAAGCACATTACACTGGCATTATTTTGCAGCTTGGACATGAAAAAAATCGCGGCTTTTTGCATGGAGTTGCGTGTAAAACACGCATAAATGCATGATTTTCTTGAAGCACAAAATTACGCAAATTTGTATGGAAAAAAAAGTATCCCACAATTGATCTGTGTAAAGTAAACAAAACTTCTTGGAATTCATGAGCGCGTTGATGTTGATGAAACCACGACGTCGCGGTTCCTCATAAACATAAAATACCTATTTATTGATAATTTTCAGTAGTTTAAATTTAATAAATTTTAACAAATATCTCCATGTAATTGGCATTCTTTTATTGTTGTGGTTTAGCAATGAACTGTTTGTCGTATAAACTTTTTATGTTTGAAAGATTTGTTTTTTTTTCTATATGATGCTAAGGATTTGACGCATGATGTCTCCTTATACTCATTCATAGATAGAAAATTTCCCATTAAAATTTCTAAACCACATTAAATATTGTATGATTTTGTCTATATTTTTTTGATAATAGATTTTGAGTTCACGTAATCATATTTATCAAATGTTACATATTTATCAAATGTTTTACTGCGTATTTGTTAAACATTTTTACTTCTCGGTTACTATTATAATAATATATAGTAACTAAGAACTGGATCTGGTTGGACGGTTTGGATACGCACGTAGAACTTTTTAGCGTATTCGCTAACCGCTGGCGGTAAAAATGTCATGGTTATGTTAAGGTTAAATAAGGTACTATAAAGCTCACTTTGCGTTATTATTGTTCGATATAATAACACTCAGTTTATATACGATGGATGGAAATTAATAACTGTCCTAGATACCGTGTCGGTAAGGCTAAGTAAAACTATAGTAACATTACTCTTGACATTGAGTAACGATACGGAGCTTATGTAGGTAATGCACATGTTTTACAATGGGATGTTTATAGTATCGCAAGTTTGATACGCTCGGTTATATGTGATTAAGATGATAAGCAGTAGAAGGTAATCCAATAAAAAAAGAACTTTATTGTAAAGGGGTAAGTTGTAATTTTTTCAAATAGTCGTGGTTACTTATACAGAAGGAGAGAAAAGGAATTTATTTACAATATATAATCAGATTTACTGAGTATGAACACTAGGAGAAATCACTGGGAGAATTTATAAATTTTCAGCCTTACAAAAACGTCCGTCGTTGGGTTTTTGTCGTCACGAGCAAGCACGCATTCAAGCAAAACATGGAATATTTTTCACCGGAACTCTTGTAATTTTCTGTTTTATAATATTGAACTAAGGTTATAATAATATACCTATTGGAATTAAGCATTCAATATAAACGTGCTAAGAATGGTATTTAAACAACACTGAGACTATATCATTTTATGTGATATAAATTCAAATGATATTCTTCCTTTGTACTTTAAAGCTGTTTAACAACAGAATAAATAATAGTTCAAGTGTTTCATGCCGGTACGTAAATAAATGGTCAGAAGTAATTTCGGAGTTTATTAAAATTCTGTGTGAAAATAACTTAAAATTTTAATGTTGACATCAGAAATATAATAAATGCGATCAGCAAAAGTGTGAAATTTAAAGTAATAATTTCGCAAACAATAAAAAAACAAACATAACTCACCAATGGCGGTTGAGTGCGTCTGTTTCTAGGGATGAATCTGACGGGAGGAAGCTGTCGTAGTGACAACTGAGGCTGCTGTGAGACATCCTACATGGCACTCTAGTGAGTCTTGTTCACTAAAACTAAGATTAGCGAGAGATCGAGTCGGTTAGTTCGCGCGAAGGCATACCGCTTCGTCCAGCAGGCTCCACACCTATGCAGAGGCGAATGTGCATCTTATAAGAGAAGGTTTGGCTGCTGACAAGCCGCCCGCCGCGCCTCACCCCGGGCACGTGACTGGCTCGGTACGTTTAATTTCGCCGGCCGGCTGGTCGGTCATTGGCCGTCGTATAAAAAGGTCTTTGGAGCCCAACAGTGAGCCCATAGAAACGCATTAACCATAGCCCGGGGCGGGTTGCCGTGATGGTAACTGGGTGACAACTGATTGAATGAGCCTGCGCGATGTCGCGCTTCTGTTTATGTCAAACAGCGCTCAGCGCCCGCGCAGCCGCGGCCCGCACCCTACGGACTATCACACACAATGTCTGTTATATGACGCTAGAAAACATTGGTTCCATGTGGTTAAACTCAGCACATATCAACATCGTATGCTATAATCATTTAGACAATACAATGCATAATAGAAAATTTGTCTCATGTCTCTAGAGATGTTATTTAATCCGTACCATTAATGGTTAACGGTAAACGTTCAATACGTGACTTCGATATTTTTCCTTGCTTATATTCGTTTATACATGGTACCTTCATATTTGGTTTATCCTTATTACTAATAGATAAGAACAAGGTCACTGGAATTATTAATAGTATCAAATAAGTTCAGAATGTTACAAGTTTATTGGAATCGGTAAATAGTCGAATGAAGGGTATAAATACCTTTGAATGAAAGATTAGTTATCGACATATTGATAAAAATATCACGTGTATGCAATATGAGATAAATAAGTTTCTTAGTATCCTTTCTGAGGATTTAAAACAAAATTTAAGCAAATATATATCTGCAATTTTTGACACTAAAGATTTTTTTACAGCTCTCCATTAGGCCCTGATATGGCACAGTAGGTGTTTTGCAGCCAAGGTATATTACAATAAATAATAATAGTAATTGCAAAATCTGACCTTATGATCATGATATGATGAGGATCATCAATGATCCGTGGTTCAATGGTAAAAAGCTCGGCAGCCACGCGGGTGGGCCGAGTTCGATTCCCAGGCAAGGAATACAGTTTTTATTATCTTCCAATTTTTATCCACTTTAATAATATAATATTAACTTAGAATCATTTTCCGAAAATTTTCAATTAAATGCCCACGATCAGAAAAAATGAGGCGGTGTTAAACACTTTAAACGTTTCACTTACATTGTTTTTTGATAAAATCACCCCAATATTTTTTTTTAGTAAAACAAAAAATGTAAAAATATACCAAAAGCGCTTCAAAGTTTGGGAGTGGGACTCGTGACGTCACTTTAATTAAAATTTGCACCAAGACGTGACGTCATGCGAGATTTCAAATCAATATAATAAATAAGAATAAATAAATAAAAATACGTTGTCCGGTACTTTTTTATAGTTTACCTGATAGATGTATATAAAAAAGTTTGTTTTTAAACCCTTGATGTGTACGTGTGTTAATAGTAATACACGTACACATTAACACTAGTATTTATAAACAAGTAATTACTTGAAACTAGAATTCTAAACTAGAAAGCATGGTTTTATAAACGAGTAATATACGTGAATTAAGCAAATGGTTAAGTTTTATTTACAATTTCCTATGGGTCGTTGGAAAAAAAAATCATATAAATTAATAAACGCACAATACAAATGTGTGATTTACTTAGAAACGAAAAATTTGACGATAACTAAGAATTCTTATTTTGATAAATTTCTTAGTTATTAAGTGAAAAATGTTGCTCAATTAATTACTTTAGCAAAATTAATTACTTTTGCTTGTCTATAAATACGGTAGCATAGCGGTCGCTGAATTCTTGTGCCATGGCAGTGGGCTAATTTTAAAGTTTTTTTTATATATATAATATCCAATAACGTATAATATATAGACAGGTTGTCCCCCCAACTTCCCCTAATCACTAAATATTTTTACATTCATTTCTAAACGTAACTGATAAAGCCTTGCTTTCAGCAAAGCTTATTGGATGACTTTAATCAATTAGGTTTTAGTGTAAAAATCGTGCCAAGTTTCAACGGCATACTCGTACATGCAGTGATTTATTTATTTATGACTCATGAAAAGGATGCGAAAGGACATAAATAAATAAATCGGTGCATCTATATTGTGACTATTTTGTCATACACACCGTGAGTTTTGAATTACGTCTACACGTTAACACCCTAATTTTGTAATTATGAATCCTTAACAATTTCAATTGTATGAATTTGTAACCGATATAATAAAAATGTGTGGCGGTATAGTACGTTCACAGTTTATAACTGTCCGCACTATTTTTATTTCGGTTTTTAAGTTTATCAGGTAACCCGAACTCTAGGTATTCTATGTTTTGTCTCATTTCATTGAATGACAAATGGCACTTGAGTGACGTGAACAAAACACGGCGTAACTAGTTTAAGCTTATTCCTTGTGTATGTTAGATTAAAACAAAAAGGGATAATATAGTCCAGTCAATGAAATCTTAACTTTGCCATTTTGTGATAGGAGGTCGAACGGGCACTTTTTTGTAGGTAAGGTCCAATTAGGAGGGTCCAATGGGTACTAGACCGAGTTAATCACCTGCAACCAACGCGAAAATTTCCGTAAGGGTTCGTAGATTAATATACTAAAATTGCAGGGTGCTGCATTGACGGCAAAGGGTGCAAAAACATTTCAAAATGGTGCAAAAACGAGTTTTTCGTCAATATCTTGCGAAAAGTTCCTAGTACAAGGTTGTAGAAAATTTTATTTCCTATAAAAAAGGTATCAAGATATTTTCACGTATTTCCCATAGTTTTTGCACAAAATGCAAAAAAGGTGCAATATATTAAAAAATAAAAAAATGATACTAATTTTTTTTCACTTTAAAACGATCCTACGGGTCAAATACAGCAATCATCACGTACTGAAATATTAAAGGATAAGTTTTTGGGAGTCCACTGAATTGAAAAGTGTCTACCGAAAAGGTAAAAAAATTACCACCGAAATGATACAGCCAAGAACATCGCCTATCTATTACAAATAGAAGGGTCCCTACTTTAAATCTAAATAAATTTCCTTATTCCTTGTAAATATTTTTGTTCGTTATTTTATTATATTTAATTAATTGTTACTCCTATTAATTATTATTACTAATTATAATTAATAACAGGTACATTTTCAAAATAACGAACAAAGCGCGTTTAGAAAGCGATAAGTTTATTAGTTAGTAAATCGTCCCCTTAGTGCCAAAAACGATTATCTGCACTTTTCCCCTACTGAAATTTTATTATACCAATCGACCCGTCTCATTAAGCCGCATCTACAGGTAAAACCCATTATGCTCTACGACGCATACTTCCTGAAGTAGCTAGTGAAAAAACAGAATAACTGCAAATTATTTCAAAAATTCTAGATTTAAATCCTAATACACCCATTAAAAACACATATGTTAGTAAATGTATTACCGCTGAAAACAACTTTCGGATTTAAACTCATTTTACATGTAGACACTTAGAGTAAATATCCTGAGAGATTATTCCACCAAAATTAGGTATCTCACGGTAATTGGCTTTGACTGTTTGAATTTTACCAGATATTTTAATTTTACTAGATGTAGTAAAAACTAACAAATCTAAGTCGCTTTTTGCAAAAAAAAAATATATTGTATATTTGCGTTATATTTGAGGCAAGTAAAAGATACCGAATTTAAATTGGTTTTTACTGAATAACTTTTATTCGACGCTTTATAAATTACTTCAGCTAAAATCGCTTATCGGTGCTTACTCTTTTCTTCAACTGTAATTTATTAGCGTTAGTCATCGTTATAGTCTGTCCATTATATTATTATCTTTTTGACAGATCGATCGAAGTAAAAATAGTGACACCCTATCACATAACTCAATCGATTTAAAGCTATAATCGATTTTATGCTAGAACATTGTTTAATCGATTATAAGTATCGAAATTCTTTTAGTTATCAAAAATACTGGTGTTTAATAAATTATTACAAAATCTCATTAGATTTATTATTATATTTGTGTGATGAGCACGAGTGTTTGTTCTGTGTCTGGGTGTGATTTATCTATAATATGTTTAAATATATAACAAAAATGCAGTATACTTTTCATATGTTTGTCTATCCTCATACTCTGTACAATTAGATTTATTGATTATAATTAATATTTCATTTAAAAAAGATTTATAAAAAACTATATCTTTCGACTTTTTACGTTTAAATATTTTTGAGTGTTTGCAACACCATGTTATGGTGGTGTATTGCGCCATTTTGAAGTTACTTTGTTCACTGATCTACACTAGTTGCAACGTAATTCTTCCCTTTGAACATTTTATCAAACGTTAAGTTTAGTAGTCTTTTAGGGACTATCAACCTCTTTTTCATACTTTTTTTTATAAAATCGTTTAAAGTGACGTTTTATTGTAAAGTAATTTTGTTCTTTCTTCTGTCTGTCAATAAAAATCGTTTGGAAAATTTGCCTACGTATTTTTCTCTCGTGAAATATTTAATTATTTTCACAAGTCATATAGTGTTGATTTGTTACGTAAGTTCTGAATGTGTACTGTACTCATTTATTTCTACCGATTATTTGTAATCTGTGGCATAATCTTAGTAATCATTATGTGTGGCACATCACTAAGTGGGCGGCACCCGTTCATGAAGTACAATATTATTTGTATGACATTTTAACGTAAACAATACGAAATTTCATAGGCGTCGATCTGTCAAAAAGATAATAATAGAATGGAAGGAAGTTAGCCACCCAGGCACAGAACTGAGTAGGCAAACCGTATCCAGGAAGCTTGGAGAGAAGACTTATGTGCCATATCCTATCAAAGCCTTGATGATGTTAAGGCTGATGGTCAAAGACTCACGTCGCTTATCGATAGATTCACCCCAGATATATGTCACGTACGCTAGAAGGTCACCTGTTGGTTGGTCTCTTCTAGGTAGCGGGTCAGATGGTTATTAAGGACTCTTTCTAAGACTTTGCACAAAACTGAGGTGACAGCTATTGGCTAATAGTTTGGTCGGGTAAGTTCACCTGACATACACCCGTATTCATAAACATTACTATGAGGTCTCACAGGGTGCGTTAACGCACAGGGTCCGAAAAACCTATTCATGGACAATACTTGAGTGGCGACCGTCACTATGCGTCCCTTATAATGAACGCACAGCCAAGGTAGCCTGCTAGATGTATTACGCAACGCATACTGCCTATTGTTCTTTTCTTTTTGACTTCGTCAAAAATTTTAGGTTATTTGCGTTGACTGTTATTTGCTGTTCGAGGTTTTGTTTTTTCTTTGTTTGCGGCTGTATTCGAAAATAATAGCGTTATTTTACAATGGATTACAGTAGTGAAGAAGAATTTGATAATTATATCAATGAGCAAAACAGAATTAGTACCAGAAAAGTGATACGAGATTTCCAAAATCCTTTTGATTATTACAGTTCAGAAGAATTTAGACGACGCTACAATCTAATTAATTATAATTACCACGAAACACAAAATAGCTCTCAAGCACTGTTTGGTTTTAAAAAGGTTATGAATTATGACAATTGACAAAAGATAGACATGTCATTCAGAGCGGTGTGAACTACGTAACATAAATGAACCAATCACAGAGCTCTATTCAACGCTGTGCGTTCTCATAGCGGAGAGTCATTTGAGTATTGTTTATGAATGGAAAGGCTTGCCAAGTAAAACGCACTGAGAAATGTCTTACTTCGCACAGTGTTGCTACTTTACTTAAACAAGTATTGTTTGTGAATACGGGTGTTAGTTATTTGGCATTTTTGGAGTTTATTTTTGATCGTCGTCTTTCTTAGCAGTTATCATTTTAAACCAAAAACGCAGAATAGTTTACACAGTTATTTTATTAGTGATTAATTAAACAAAAGAATAAGAGTGTTGCCCAGCGCTCAATTCAACAATTAATGAATAAAAGTGAGCAACTCTCTCGCTAGCGCGCGATCTGTGTATGGAAGAGATAGTTAAACATGGATAGCTGGT